TTAACAGCGAGGGCCGAAGAACTTTACCGGCGAGGGCCGAAGGCCCGAGCTTTCAACCCATCCCGGAAGGCATGGCTAAACTTTACCAGCAAGGGCCGAAGGCCCGAGCTTTCAACCCATCCCGGAAGGCAGGGCTAACCCGAGCTTTCAACCCATCCCGGAAGGCAGGGCTAACCCGAGCTTTCAACCCATCCCGGAAGGCAGGGCTAAACTTTTCCGGCGCGGGCCGAAGGCCCGAGCTTTCAACCCATCCCGGAAGGCAGGGCTAAACTTTACCAGCGAGGGCCGAAGGCCCGAGCTTTCAACCCATCCCGGAAGGCAGGGCTAAACTTTACCGGCGAGGGCCGAAGGCCCGAGCTTTCAACCCATCCCGGAAGGCAGGGCTAAACTTTACCGGCGAGGGCCGAAGGCCCGAGCTTTCAACCCATCCCGGAAGGCAGAGCTAAACTTTACTGGCGAGGGCCGAAGGCCCGAGCTTTCAACCCATCTAAAAGGCAGAGCAATGAAATTAGAAGGCAAGGCTAAACTGTACCTGCGAGGGCCGAAGGCCCGAGCTTTCAACTCATCTAAAAGGCAGAGCAATGATCGAAAGGCAGGGCTAAACTTTACCGGCGCGGGCCGAAGGCCCGAGCTTTCAACTCATCCCGGAAGGCAGGGCTAAACTTTACCAGCGAGGGCCGAAGGCCCGAGCTTTCAACCCATCCCGGAAGGCAGGGCTAAACTTTACCGGCGAGGGCCGAAGGCCCGAGCTTTCAACCCATCCCGGAAGGCAGGGCTAAACTTTACCGGCGAGGGCCGAAGGCCCGAGCTTTCAACCCATACCGGAAGGCAGGGCTAAACCTTACCAGCGAGGGCCGAAGGCCCGAGCTTTCAACCCATACCGGAAGGCAGAGCAATGAAATTAGAAGGCAAGGCTAAACTGTACCTGCGAGGGCCGAAGGCCCGAGCTTTCAACCCATCTAAAAGGCTGAGCAATGATCGAAAGGCAGGGCTAAATTTACCTGCGGAGGCCGAAGGCCCGAGCTTTCAACCCATCCCGGAAGGCAGGGCTAAACTTTACCAGCGAGTGCCGAAGGCCCTTTCTTTCAACCCATTTCTGAAGGCAGGGCTAAACTTTACCAGCGAGGGCCGAAGGCCCGAGTTTTCAACCCTTCCCGGAAGGCAGGGCTAAACCTTACCAGCGAGGGCCGAAGCCCGAGCTTTCAACCCATCTTAGAGGCAGAGCAATGAAAGAAAAGGCAGGGCTAAACTTTACCTGCGAGGGCCGAAGGCCCGAGCATTCAACCCATTTAAAAGGCAGAGCAACGCATTAAAATGCAGGGCTAAACTTTGCCGGCGAGGGCCGAAGGCCCGAGCTTTCAACCCATCCCGGAAAAATTGGCCGATATTTTAAACTTTGCAAAAAAATTTTAAAGGTGGGCAAATGATATATCAAATGAAAGCCCTCAGTGAGCTGAGTCTAAAAATAATATCAGAAAAAATTTCTGACCATTTTGTACAAAGTTATGCTTGACCAAAACTCCGACCACAGCCGATTAAACATTCTAGCGGCGCGCGAAGCGCGCCCCAAAACCGTTAGGCTTTCCAACGGGCACCCCAAAATTTTACCGCCAGAGTGCTGTAACTAACCGCCATCGCATACGTAACCCAGAGCTAGTTACTATATACCTATAATTCAGGGAGTGTTTTTTCTAAGAAAAAAAATAACGGCCGGCCGAAGGCCGGCACGGATTCGGGAGTTTGACATTCGGGGGGTAGTTTGGTCCGGGGCATCCAGGAAAATTATCGAGAAGTCGAAATAATTGCCCCCTGGTACCTAAATCGCATAAGTGCCGGGGCTATCTTTTTAACGGTTGGAGATAGCGAAAAACGTCTGCTGGGAGGCACGTGCCCCACTATTAGGGGATGTCAAAACCAAAAAACTCGAAGTCGAAATTCGGACCTGAAGGGTACTTATGCCTTCCCAAATGGTTATGCCCCCAGGCTGAAAAATTCTAACTCATTTTTGGGACCAGTTAGGAGGCTAAAACTTTTTGCATCCGGGGTACTATTTGATGGAGCATTTGGGAAAAATACGAAGGTTAAGAAATAATTACCCCCTGGTACCTATATGGAATAGGTACCGGGGGTATCTCGGGACTGGGACGAGATATCGAAAAACTTCCAACGGGAGGCACGCAAGTTGGAATAAGCTGATATATGTAGGAAAAAACCCGAAGTCTAAATCCCAACTTGAAGGGTAGATATGCCTGCGCAAAAATCCCAAAATCCCAGTTTCGCAAATTTCGAAATTTACGAAACTTATCGACAAATCACGTGTGATATGTCAAATGAAAGCTCTCGACGAGCTGAGTCTGGAAAAATTTAGTTTAAATTTTTCGGAATACTTTTGACCAAGTTACAGTAGCCCAAAGTTTCAAAGTGCCCCCATGTAAAATTGGGAAGGGTGGCTCCAATTGTCAAAAGTGAATTAAAACGCGTTTTCGATAACCTATGTTATAGAGCGTCTCCTGACGGTCCGAAAAAGGTATAATATGTAGGGGGTCCGGTTGAGTCTGAAAAAGTTATAGGCAATGTTCGCAAATGTCGCGAAACTTTTTTTGACTCTAACGTCCAGGGGAAATTTTTTAAAATTTTTTTGACACCGGATTTGGACTCAGCGGGTGTCAGAGTACCATATGGGACGTTTTATGGGTCAAAATCCGAAAATTTTGGTCCCTCGAATTTTTCTAAAGGGGTACCCCTTTTGTGAAATTTAAGGGATTTTTAAATTCAAAATAACTTTTTCTGGGATTCTCGGATTGGGATGGGGTTTCTTTTATAAAATAGATTCAAAAATTAGAAATTTTTTGAGCCCAAAAAATTTTTAAAAAATTCAAAATTGGAGGTGTAGGGGTCGAATTTCGAAAAACCCAAAATTTTTCAGTTTTTCGAAATTTTTTCGGGATTTTTGCAGGCGGTTCGGGCCGAAGGTATTTTTCCTGTATTAAGCAGATTTTTCTACATATTTTGGGATTTTAAAATTTTCGAAAAGGAATACTTTGGGCGAGATATGATTTTTTGAAAATTTCGGTGATTTTTTCTCACTGAAATTTCATGCCCAAAAAATATTTTTTTCAAAATGGATATATATATGGCAAATGAGATATCATTCGAAAGCTCTTTTTGAGCTGGATATAAAAATATTTTTTTCGAATTTTTTCGGTACATTTTGAAGAAAGTACAGAGGTTCAAAAATTTGTGGGGGTGATTACCGTCTCGGAAAATTATGGTAGGGAGAGAGGAAAAATGATTGACAGGTGAAGTTGATGGCAGAGAGGCGAAATTTTTCTCCGTCTCTGACCATGCGGGGCAACACGTAGAAGAGTTTAAAGGTGAATTTTGTATATGGGGGAAAATTTTGTGGAGGGATAAGCTGGATCCTGTTATGGATCCGAAGCAGAGATGCTTCATGAAGCAGTTTCTGCTTCGAAATTTTGTTTCGGATTGGACTACTCATCCTTCTAATTGAAAGGATGAGTCCAATCATCCTTCTAATTGAAAGGATGAGTCCAATCATCCTTCTAATTGAAAGGATGAGTCCAATCATCCTTCTAATTGAAAGGATGAGTCCAATCATCCTTCTAATTGAAAGGATGAGTCCAATCATCCTTCTAATTGAAAGGATGAGTCCAATCATCCTTCTAATTGAAAGGATGAGTCCAATCATCCTTCTAATTGAAAGGATGAGTCCAATCATCCTTCTAATTGAAAGGATGAGTCCAATCATCCTTCTAATTGAAAGGATGAGTCCAATCATCCTTCTAATTGAAAGGATGAGTCCAATCATCCTTCTAATTGAAAGGATGAGTCCAATCATCCTTCTAATTGAAAGGATGAGTCCAATCATCCTTCTAATTGAAAGGATGAGTCCAATCATCCTTCTAATTGAAAGGATGAGTCCAATCATTCTTCTATTTGAAAGGATGAGTCCAATCATCCTTCTAATTGAAAGGATGAGTCCAATCATCCTTCTAATTGAAAGGATTAGTCCAATCATCCTTCTAATTTAAAGGATGAGTCCAATCATCCTTCTAATTTAAAATTGAGTCCAATCGAGGGGCCGAAGGCCCGGAGTGACTCTAAGTGGAAGGATGATTCAAATCGAGGGGAAGACGAGGGCCGAAGGCCCGAGCTTTCATTACATCTAAAAGGCAGAGAAAAGTATTAGGCAATAGGCAAGGAGTTATAGGCAAGGATGAGTCCAATCGAAGGGAAGACGAGGGCCGAAGGCCCGAAGTGACTCTAATTGAAAGGGTGAGTCCAATCGAGGGGAAGACGAGGGCCGAAGGCCCGAAGTGACTCTAAGTGGGAGGCGAGGGCCGAAGGCCCGAGCTTTCATTACATCTAAAAGGCAGAGCAATAGTCAAAGGCAGAGCATAGATCCTCCGAGGCCGAGGAGTAGGCGAGGGCCAAAGGCCCGAGCTTTCATTACATCTAAAAGGCAGAGAAAAGTTATAGGCAAAGCATAGATCCTCCGAGGCCGAAGGCCGAGGAGTAGGCGAGGGCCGAAGGCCCGAGCTTTCATTACATCTAAAAGGCAGAGCAATAATCAAAGGCAGAGCATAGATCCTCCGAGGCCGAAGGCCGAGGAGTAGGCGAGGGCCGAAGGCCCGAGCTTTCATTACATCTAAAAGGCAGAGAAAAGTTATAGGCAAAGCATAGATCTTCCGAGGCCGAAGGCCGAGGAGTAGGCGAGGGCCGAAGGCCCGAGCTTTCATTACATCTAAAAGGCAGAGAAAAGTTATAGGCAAAGCATAGATCCTCCGAGGCCGAAGGCCGAGGAGTAGGCGAGGGCCGAAGGCCCGAGCTTTCATTACATCTAAAAGGCAGAGCAAGTGACTCTAAGTGGGAGGAAGAGTCCAATCGAAGGGAAGACAAGGGCCGAAAGCCCGAAGTGACTCTAATTGGAAGAATGAGCTCAATCGAAGGGAAGACGAGGGCCGAAGACCGAAGTGACTCTAAATGGAAGGAGGAGTCCAATGGAAGGGAAGACGAGGGCCGAAGGCCCGAAGTGACTCTAAGTGGAAGAAAGAGTCCAATCGAAGGGAAGACGAGGGCCGAAGGCCCGAAGTGACTCTAAGTGGCAGGATGAGTCCCAATGGGGGGAAGACGAGTTGGCGAGGGCCGAAGGCCCGAAGCAATGAAAAGGCAGAGGTAATCAAATATATTCCAAGCATCCAAACATTCTAGCAGCGCGCGAAGCGCGCCCCAAAGCCGATAGGCTTTCGAAAACCCAGAACTAAATTGAAACCCAGAACAAAATTAAACTGCCATTGCATACGTAAGTTACCGCCATCGCATACGTAACCCATCGCTAGTTACTATATACCTATAATTCAGGGAGTGTTTTTTCTAAGAAAAAAAATAACGGCCGGCCGAAGGCCGGCACGGTTTTGGGAGTTTGACATTCGGGGGGTAGTTTGGGACGGGGCATCCAGGAAAATTATCGAGAAGTCAAAATAATTACCCCCTGGTACCTAAATCGCTTAAGCGCCGGGGCTATCTTTTCAATGGGGGGTTATAGCGAAAAATGTCTGCTGGGAGGATGATGTACGGCTATTAGTAGAGTTCGAATGCAAAAAACTCGAATTCGAAATTCGGACCTGAAGGGTACTTATGCCTTCCCAAATGATAATGCCCCCAGGCTGAAAAATTCTAACCCTTTAACGAATTGAGTTAGGGGTCTGAAACTTTTGCATTTAAGGGTTCTATTTGATGGGGCATTTGGGAAAAATACGAAAGTTAAGAAATAATTACCCCCTGGTACCTATATTGAATAGGTACCGGGGGTATCTCGGGACTGGGGGGAGATATCAAAAAACTTCCAACGGGAGGCACGCAAGTTGGAATAAGCTGATATATGTAGGAAAAAACCCGAAGTCTAAATCCCAACTTGAAGGGTAGATATGCCTGCGCAAAAATCCCAAAATCCCAGTTTCGCAAATTTCGAAATTTACGAAACTTATCGACAAATCACGTATGATATGTCAAATGAAAGCTCTCGACGAGCTGAGTCTGGAAAAATTTAGTTTAAATTTTTCGGAATACTTTTGACCAAGTTACAGTAGCCCAAAGTTTCAAAGTGCCCCCATGTAAAATTGGGAAGGGTGGCTCCAATTCTCAAAAGTGAATTGAAACCCGTTTTCGATATCCTATGTTATAGAGCGTCACCTGACGGTCCGAAAAAGGTATAATATGTCGGGGGTCCGGTTGAGTCTCAAAAAGTTATGGCCAATGTTCGCAAATGTCGCGAAACTTTTTTTGACTCTAACGTCCCGGGGGAATTTTTTAAAATTTTTCTGACACCGGATTTGGACTCAGCGCATGTCAGAGTACCATATGGGACGTTTTATGGGTCAAAATCCAAAAATTTTGGTCCCTCGAATTTTTCTAAAGGGGTCCCTAAAATCCCCTTTGGGGGGATTTTAGGGATTTTTAAATTTGAAATATCTTTTTTTGGGATTGTCAGATTGGGATGGGGTTTCCTTTATTAAATTAAGTAAAAAATTAGAAATTTTTTGAGCCCAAAAAATTTTTAAAAAATTCAAAATTGCAGGTGTAGGGGTCGAATTTCGAAAAACCCAAAATTTTTCGGTTTTTCGAAATTTTTCGGGATTTTTGCAGGCGGTTCGGGCCGAAGGTATTTTTCCTGTATTAAGCAGATTTTTCTACATATTTTGGGATTTTAAAATTTTCAAAAAGGTATACTTTGGGCGAGATATGATTTTTTGAAAATTTCGGGGATTTTTTCTCGCTGAAATTTCAGGCCCAAAAAATATTTTTTTCAAAATGGATATAAATATGGCAAATGAGATATCATTCGAAAGCTCTCATCGAGCTGGATATAAAAATATTTTTTTCGAACTTTTTCGGTACATTTTGAAGAAAGTACAGAGGTTCAAAAATTTGTGGGTGTGAGTACCGTACTCGGAAAATTATGGTAGGGAGAGAGGAAAAATGATTGAAGGTGAAGTTGATGGCAGAGAGGCGAAATTTTTCTCCGTCTCTGACCATGCGGGGCAACACGTAGAAGAGTTTAAAGGTGAATTTTGTATATGGGGGAAAATTTAGTAGGAGGATAAGCTGGATCCTGTTATGGATCCGAAGCAGCAATGCTTCGTGAAGCATCTAATGCTTCGAAATTTTGTCCAATCGAGGGGAAGACGAGGGCCGAAGGCCCGAAGTGACTCTAAGTGGAAGGGTGAGTCCATTCGAGGGTATCGAAGGGAACACAAGGGCCGAAGGCCCGAAGTGACTCTAAGTGGAAGGATGAGTCCCAGGGGGTCAAAGACTTCGGGCCGAAGGCCCGAAGTTTTTCTAATTAAAAGGCTGAGTCCAATAGAGAGGAAGACGAGGGCCGAAGGCCCGAAGTGACTCTAAGTGGAAGGATGAGTCCAATCGAGGTGAAGACGAGGGCCGAAGGCCCGAAGTGACTCTAATTGGAAGAATGAGTCCATTCGAAGGGAAGACGAGGGCCGAAGGCTTTCATTACATCTAAAAGGCAGAGCAATAGTCAAAGGCAGAGCATAGATCCTCCGAGGCCGAAGGCCGAGGAGTAGGCGAGGGCCGAAGGCCCGAGCTTTCATTACATCTAAAAGGCAGAGCAAGTGACTCTAAGTGGGAGGAAGAGTCCAATCGAAGGGAAGACGAGGGCCGAAGGCCCGAAGTGACTCTAAATGGAAGGAGGAGTCCAATCGAAGGGAAGACGAGGGCCGAAAGCCCGAAGTGACTCTAAATGGAAGGAGGAGTCCAACGGAAGGGAAGACGAGGGCCGAAGGCCCGAAGTGACTCTAATTGGAAGAATGAGTCCATTCGAAGGGAAGACGAGGGCCGAAGGCCGAAAAGCCGAAGGCCCGAAGGCCGAAGGCCCGAAGCAATAGTCAAAGGCAGAGCATAGATCTTCCGAGGCCGAAGGCCGAGGAGTAGGCGAGGGCCGAAGGCCCGAGCTTTCATTACATCTAAAAGGCAGAGCAATAGTCAAAGGCAGAGCTCTTCCTTTGACTATTGCTCTGCCTACGGTGGGCCGAAGGCCCGCCGTAGGCCCGCCGTAGGCGAGGGCCGAAGGCCCGAGCTTTCATTACATCTAAAAGGCAGAGCAATAGTCAAAGGAAGAGCATAAATCCTCCGAGGCCGAAGGCCGAGGAGTTGGCGGGCCGAAGGCCCGCCGAGCGAGGGCCGAAGGCCCGAGCATTCATTACATCTAAAAGGCAGAGCAATAGTCAAAGGCAGGGCATAGATCCTCCGATGCCGAAGGCCGAGGAGTTCGGCGGGCCGAAGGCCCGCCGATGGCGAGGGCCGAAGGCCCGAGCTTTCATTACATCTAAAAGGCAGAGCAATTGTCAAAGGCACAGCATAGATCCTCCGAGGCCGAAGGCCGAGGAATTCGGCGGGCCGAAGGCCCGCCGTTGGCGAGGGCCGAAGGCCCGAGCTTTCATTACATCTAAAAGGCAGAGCAATTGTCAAAGGCAGACATAATCCTCCGAGGCCGAAGGCCGAGGAGTTGGCGGGCCGAAGGCCCGCCGTAGGCGAGGGCCGAAGGCCCGAGCTTTCATTACATCTAAAAGGCATAGCAATAGTCAAAGGAAGAGCATAAATCCTCCGAGGCCGAAGGCCGAGGATTTGGCGGACCGAAGGCCCGCCGTAGGCGAGGGCCGAAGGCCCGAGCTTTCATTACATCTAAAAGGCAGAGCAATGGTCAAAGGAAGAGCATAAATCCTCCGAGGCCGAAGGCCCGAGCTTTCATTACATCTAAAAGGCAGAGCAATAGTCAAAGGAAGAGCATAAATCCTCCGAGGCCGAAGGCCGAGGAGTTGGCGGGCCGAAGGCCCGCCGTAGGCGAGGGCCGAAGGCCCGAAGCAATGAAAAGGCAAGGCTAAACTTTGCCGGCGAGGGCCGAAGGCCCGAAGCCATGAAAAGCAGGGCTAAACTTTACTGGCGAGGGCCGAATGCCCGAAGCAATGAAAAGGCTTAACTTTAACGGCGAGGGCCGAAGGCCCGTAGCAATGAAAAGGCAGAGGTAATCACACATATTCCTCGCATTCAAAAATTCTAGCAGCGCGCGAAGCGCGCCCCAAAGCCGATAGGCTTTCCAACGGGCAGAGCCAAATTTAAACCCAAAGCAAAATTTTACCGCCAGAGTATGCTATTCGCGCCATCGCATACGTAACCCATAGCTAGTTACTATATACCTATAATTATGAGAGTATTTTTTTAGAAAAAATTAAAGCTCCCGGCCGAAGGCCGGGAGCCTTCTGAAAGTTGTACATCTTGGGGGGTACTTTTGACGGGCTATTTGGGAAAATTATCGAAAAGTCAAAATAATTACCCCATGGTACCTAAATCGCTTAGGTGCCGGGGCTATCTCCGGAACGGTTGGGGATAGCGAAAAACTTCTGCTGGGAGGCACGCAAGTGGGGATATGAGGATATAAACGGGAAAAAACTCGAAGTCGAAATCCCAACTTGGAGGGTACTTATGCCTGCGCAAAAATTTTGCCCCCAGGCTGAAAAATTCTAACCCTTTACCGGATTGAGTTAGGGGTCTGAATCTTTTTGCATTCGTTGTCCCATATGATGGGGCATTTGGGAAAAATAAGGAAGTTTCAAAATAATTGCCCCATGGTACCTAAATTGTATAGGTACCCGGGGTATCTCGGGAGTGGGGGAAGATATTGAAAAACTTCTGCTGGGAGGCACGCACGTTGGTATTAGAGGATATTAATAGCAAAAAACCCGAAGTCAAAATTCGGATTTGAAGGGTACTTATGCCTGCGCAAATATCCCAAAATCCCAGTTTCGCAAATTTCGAAATTTACGAAACTAATCGACAATTCACGTGTGATATGTCAAATGAAAGCTCTCGAAGAGCTGAGTCTGGATAAATTTAGTTTAAATTTTTCGGACCACCTTGGACCAAGTTACAGTAGCCCAAAGTTTCAAGATATTTTTATGTAAAATTGGGAACGGTGGCTCCAATTCTTAAAAGTGAATTAAAACGCGTTTTCGATATCCTATCTTAAAGAGCGTCCCCTGGCGGTCCGAAAAAGGTATAATATGTCGGGGGTCCACTTGAGTCTGAAAAAGTTATGGCCAATGTTCGCAAATGTCGCGAAACTTTTTTTGACTCTAACGTCCAGGGGGAATTTTTTAAAATTTTTCTTACACCGGATTTGGACTCAGCGCATG